TTGGATCATTTGATTTGCCCATCAACTATTGCTTGATGTCTCCCTACTGTTACCCCCCAACCCCCAACACACATTTTCCTTGATTGCTCAGTGCGTATTGTCATTTTTGCTATTTGCATCTTTTTTTTTCGGGGGTGGGGGTGGCAAACTAGAGGACCACCCCCTGGTGGCTCAAATTCTTGTTATGCCACTGCCTACTACAATAATAGAAGTATTTGAGAAAGTTATATGTTTCTATTTATTTTACGCATCAGTGCAGAACATAGTTTTTTTTTTTTTTTAAATATGTCCCACTTTGTGAGCTAAAATAAATGTTAGTACTCACCTCTATTGAATTTTAATCTTTCCAAAAATCAAAATAAGAAAATCAGCTGTAAATTTGAAAATTAAAAATAAAAAAAACAACAGACGCTCTCTAGCGGTCACATTTGATCATTAAACACGAAACACCCAGACACCTCAGGACGTAGATGGCATAGTCAACAAAATCTATTTAAGATCGATAAGGAAATCACTGTGGTAGAACATCCAATAGAAGCATGCGGGGTCCTACGAATGGCAGTAGACCGTAGTCGCACGCGCTGCCGACACGAGAAACAGTTGGGACTACCATCGCCAACACCACCACCAGCAGCTGCGGTGACAGGCAGGCGCGGTTAGTGGGGAAGAGGGGTGGGGGTTTGGGGTGGGGGGGGGGGTTAATTGGTTCAGAAATTGTGACTGTAGAAAGACTTGGGTGGGAATACAATCGATTTTGTATTTTTTTTATTTTTTGTTACCTTGCAAAGCCTGTCAGGTGTGTCTGTCAGGTGTGTCGGTCAGGTGTGTCTGTCAGGTGTGTCGGTCTGGTGGAAGAGGCACGGCGGCACAGTCTCGCAAGAAATGAGTTTGAAAGATTTAAACTTTGAACTCTCAATAACAAAAAAAAATTTAAAAAACAACAACGAATCGAATAATATTTATGTCGAGTAAACAAGGAATGGCGTAAAGAAACATCTAGAATGATAAGTGGGAATGGGGCGTGAGGGAAAGGGGTCACATGGAAGAAGACATGTCTGGTTGATTAATCGATCTCCTTTTTTTTTAAAGAGCGTAGAGAGAGTAGTGGGTAAGAAGTTTGGTGAGGAGGGGAAGAGCGAATAAGGTCCCAAGGAGCGGTTTGAATTGTTTGATAGAGTGGGGGACTTTCTCACGCCTTGGAGAGGTGGAGGGCTACGAAGAAGATATCGAGGTTGTTGAAGGATAGAAAGAGAGGTGGACGTGAGGATCAACAAATTAATGAACAGCAGTGAGAAAGGTGAGAGGGCATGTAGAGCGGTGAAGTATTAATTGGTAAATGGATAATGGATGTCAGACGTGAGGTCTAGGGGCAAAGATCAAATGGGTTAGATATGTCAGACGTGAGGTCTAGGGGCAAAGATCAAATGGGTTAGATATGTCAGACGTGAGGTCTAGGGGCAAAGATCAAATGGGTTAGATATGTCAGACGTGAGGTCTAGGGGCAAAGATCAAATGGGTTAGATATGTCAGACGTGAGGTCTAGGGGCAAAGATCAAATGGGTTAGATATGTCAGACGTGAGGTCTAGGGGCAAAGATCAAATGGGTTAGATATGTCAGACGTGAGGTCTGGGGGCAAAGATCAAATGGGTTAGATATGTCAGACGTGAGGTCTAGGGGCAAAGATCAAATGGGTTAGATATGTCAGACGTGAGGTCTAGGGGCAAAGATCAAATGGGTTAGATATGTCAGACGTGAGGTCTGGGGGCAAAGATCAAATGGGTTAGATATGTCAGACGTGAGGTCTAGGGGCAAAGATCAAATGGGTTAGATATGTCAGACGTGAGGTCTAGGGGCAAAGATCAAATGGGTTAGATATGTCAGACGTGAGGTCTGGGGGCAAAGATCAGATGGATTGATGGATGTTTACTGGATGTAGAGAGGAATGTGTGGATGACCGGAGTTATGATTTTATTTTAAAGAGAAGTAGTTGGGGCCCATGGTTGCAGTGGCGTGGCTAGTATTAGGGCTGCCCTGGTGGGACAATACTATTTCCACACACACACACACAATAATAAAACTAATATACAAAGTTCCCACCGGAGCTGACCGTCATCTATACATCCTTCATTCCTTCGCCACGGCCTAGTTGGAAATGGTATAGTATGGTTAGAGTGATAAATATACATATATATATATACATATTTATATATTTATGCCTTTATGTTACTTTAAAAAAAAACTATATTAAAGAAGAGTTTAAATCACTGAAAAGCAGAATAAGATTTTAAATTTCTTGATGCAAAGAAAGTCTGTGGAGAAGGGGAGAATATAATTCTATGTAACCATAGCTTAGAGCAAAATTCTATTTAGCCATAGCTTAGAACAGTGGTCTATGTAGCCATTGCGTTCCAATCAATGCAGACGAAAATTAAGTATGTTTTATTGTTATAAATGTTACAAATATTTTCTGCACAGACTTTGTTTTCAGTGACGTACCCACAGCGCTGACATTAATGAATGGACAACGTGAACTATTCAAGTGATTGTCTGAAGGACGGACTTCTTCATTATTGAACTTTGCTGCCACACGACAGCTGTGGTTGCAATCCACTTGAGCCAAACATGTGGTAACCGGCTAGCTGCCAATAACTAACGGCATTATCACACAGCGTTGTCGTCACCTATCACTGACAGTGTATAACAATGTCACGTGACCAATTTGTTCTTCCAAAAAGCCTAAATATCGATTGTGGGTCGCTGAACACAGCAGGGGCGTTACCCCCCCCCCACCCCCACTATTTATGGTGGTCATAAGATTGTACAAATATGATCGCGGTTTTCTTTTTGTCTTGTGTGTGTGCTTAAACCTCAATGACTTGGCGTTTCGCTTTAAGGAGGTGAACCGGTCCGTCTTTCTTTGAGTAGTTGAAATGTTTGACAACAAGTAACTTGAGGAGGAAAAGGTTGGGGTGGGGGGGGTGGGGGCAAGGGTTTCGGGGCTGTAGTTTACAGAAAATTGGACGGGTCGTCAATTAATGGGCATGTGTGTGCTAATAAAGCTGCTTCTAGAAACTAAACCAAAGATCTTATTGGGGCAAAAGATCTTTATTGGACCACAGATCTTCATTGGGGTCGAAGACCTTCGTGTGGGCCAAAGATCTTCACTAGGTCAAAGATCTTCATATGGGTCCATGACCTCCATTTGGGTTAAAGATCTTCATTGATCAAAGATCTTCATTTGGGTCTTAGGTCTTTATTTGGGTCAAAGATCTTCATTTGCGATTAAGATTTTCATTGGGTTCAAATGTCTTCATTTGGGACAAAGATCTTCATTGGGTCAAAGCTCTTGATTGGGACAAAGATCTTCATTGGTTTCTAAATACCATTTTATACAGTACTATCTGGAGGCAAAATAGTAATAACAATAACGAAGTGATTGAAAGAAAGAACCAGGCCAAAGATATGGTGAAGAATGTAATAAATTGATATTATGTCAACTCGTCACACGCTTAAATTTGAAGAGTTTCAGTCGTGTCGAGCCGCCATCTTTGTGGAACAGTGACTCAAGGGGTAGCTTCTACTCTCTTAATGTCAGACAGGTGGATATGATGTGAGCCGAAATAATGCAACCTGTTTGAGGAATGCAGGCCAAGTGAGGGCAAAAAAAAATAATTCTTTTTAAACATGGATATCCACATAATTTTTTAATTTTTTTTTACTCAAATAATTTGGGTGCGTTTTGTCATTTTGTTGATAAAAGAATTGCTATTTCATTTCCCTTCTAATTGCATAATTGTGTATTTTGAATATAAGGTTTAGAGCCCGTACGATGCATCATGATCGAAAACTCCGTTCTTTCATATGGCAGTTGGAGGCCATTTAATGAATTCTAAAAATTGAATTGGGGAAAAAAAAACTAATTGTTAAACGTCTGCCTATAACGAAACATGTGAGGGAACCATTGAGCGCATGTGCTGGTCATCTTATGTGGTGCGCGGGCTCGTCACCGTATGTGGTGCGATACTGGTCACCGTAAGTGCTGCTGTACTGGTCAACATGTGTGTTGCGGGTGCTGGACAACATATTTCGCGGGGGGGCTGACCGCCGTATGTGCTCGGGTGCTCGTTTGCGTATGTCGCAGGGAGGGGGGGGGTGTTGGCCAACATGTGTCGCGGGGTCCCATGCCGCCGTATGTGCAAGAGTGATAGACAACGTATTTTCGTGGGTACTGATGTCTATGAGCGCAGTTCCTTAGTTTCTACATACATACATTATGCGCTACAACGTACTGTACTGGAACTCCCGCACCTTGAAACTGAACACAGAGCAAGATTGTGTTGTAGAATTCTAAGTTACAGCGTAAATTACTAAATAGTGAGTCCAAATAACGTAATAACTTTTTAGCTGGATGATATTTCTAAAGTAATGAGTAAAAAAAAACAAAAAACAACAGCATAGGAATAGCAATTGACTTTGAAAATTTTTGAACGCTTATTGTGAAAATAGCATGTAGATAACATTTTAAAGCACAAGTAAAAACTAAAGGGAACTAGCCAAATTATAAAAAAAAACAATTTGTTGTACAAAAGTTGTTCCCCTTGGTCAGAACACCAAAACTTGATCGAATTCTTCATCTCTCCGCAAGGGCACATGGCTTTTGTCGGCTCCTCGATCACAACCAAAGGTTCAGACGCCCGTTAACCGTAGCTAGTTTGATGAGCGCTATATTAACCTAATTTTTACAAATCCAAAACTTAACAATCAGTATAAAAACACACACTCACTTCCAATTCTACCACCGGGCAAGACTGGGGGTGCCAGACGGGCAGAAAAAAACTAAATTGACATCAAACAGCAACAAAAAAAAACCAAACACAAACAAACAAATTAGCAAAGTTAGGAAGGGGTGGGGGAATGAATAAGAGGAAAATTTAAAATAGTAAACATAGTTTAATGTTGAATATAAATCCTTTCATATTTATTTATTTATTTAGGCATTTTTATATAACGCTTACCTTAAAGCTCTAAGCGCTTTACAATTATTAAAAACATGTAAACTAAGTAAAATAAAAATGAGACACTAGGATAGTAACTACTATACTATAGAAACCATTAAAATGGCTATAAAACGAGTATTAACTCTTATCAACACTTTACACCATTCATTTTTCTTTTGGTCCTTTAAAAAAAAAATTCAAAACAAACTTATTAAGTTTATTGAAATTAAAAAAATAAATTACATTAAACAACAATAAACCATTAGAAAAATATGTTGATACAAAGTAGCTAAAAATGAGTAAGCTGGCTAAAAATAGAATTGGGAATTACAAAAAAATATCGCTGTTACATTAACGCTATATTAGCTAAAATGACATTAATACCATAATTGTCTTATATGTTTATTTGAACACTGACAGACATTTATATACAACTATCTATGTTAACGAATTTTTGTTATTGTTGAAAATCCTTGTCAACTTCTATATTATAAACTCATCTGAAGATCACTTTACAAAAATAAGATACGAAAATAGATAATTATAAATGTTGCATATTTTACTCTCGTCTCTGATCTGACTACACTAATCTTGACATTACGTCAAACTCTATCATATTTCCTCTCTGACGGTCTTGATTCTAATGTTATAGAAAATGTGCCCAAAAGCCTCAAAGCATGGCCGGTAGATGGCGTCCACGGCTGACTGCACGAACCCTCTCACGCCACCGAGCTTGACGTCGTAGCTCATCTTACAGGGGCGGCAGCACCAAACGGTACAGCACGCCAAGAATCCGAAGTGTACCCCCCAGAAGAACGCCAGGGGCAGAGCACAGAAGAGGGTTGATATTTTGTAGCACCAGAGCCTCGTTTGGGTGAAGACCTGTGCGTTGAGAGCAATCACTTTGTGTTAGTTAAACGGGAATAAAGATTGAAAGTTCTGGGAATAGACCAAACGTCCTTCGGACAGTCTGTGTTTGGCATACAAATTATTTAATTTAAATTTCCCATTATTTGCCTTTTTTTTCCGGGTACTAAATTTAATAACCGACGCCCAGGATCAGTGGTGCAAGTACGGCGCAGCCCTTAGTTTATCAATATCATTTGTTTTACAAAAGCCTGGACTGGTACGGTGGAAAGTAATGTGGAATCAATGTAACTTTTTTTTTTTTTAAAATGCATGGTATTAATAACTTATAGGCAAAAGTGTTTCACTACAAGTGTTTCATTACAGGAGTTTCCCTACAGGTGTTTCACTACAGGTGTTTCTCTACAGGTGTTTCTCTACAGGTGTTTCTCTACAGGTGTTTATCTACAGGTGTTTATCTACAGGTATTTATCTACAGGTGTTTCTGTACATGGCATATTAGAATACAGCCAATCATTAACTTACTGTAAGACTCCCGGACCAGACTGTGTCAAACGAGGAGACCTCTGGGTCGGGCTCGGCGAAGATATTTTCAAAATTCACCTGAAATGAAATGTGAATGTTTCCATTTAGTACAGTTTACTTAGTAGTCTTCTTCATTCATTTATCGCTACACTGAATCAAGCAAAAAGATAATGTCAATTCGATTGGCATTAGTGTATTGGCATACATGACATTTTGCAGTGAAGCAGAGATGGTCAGCTGGAATAAACCCATTTAAAAAAAAGTGCTTCTGAAGAGTTTCTCTGCTCAGCATTTTTACGAATTATTCATCTAGCCTTGCATCCCCTACTAATTCTTCTGCTAAGTATCAAACTTACCCCTATAAATTGTTTCTCTAAGTATCGCACTGCTAAGTATCGTACCCTTACAAAAGTAACAATGCATTCATAAAAATGAAAAATAATGACATGTAATGTATTACATGCATTGAGAAGAGAACTTGTGACTAAATTCAAGCAGTAAAATGTTTATGGATAAATATTTTGAAATACATGAAAGCTTGTGTCATAAAATAAGAGCTAATCCATCCTCTGTACTTATAACCCATTGTCCTCGGACGCCCTGAAATGCAACGTCACGCCCCCCTGGGTTTGACAGCACCCCAGTTTGATAAACCTTGGGTAAGCGATTCCTTCAGTACATTAAATAGTGACATTCTTTCATCGAACAACGCTCTAACTTTAAGATGATCAACACGTTCTAATTTGGAGATGATCAACAAGCTCTAATTTGGAGATGATCAACAAGCTCTAATTTGGAGATGATCAACACGTTCTAATTTGGAGATGATCAACAAGCTCTAATTTGGAGATGATCAACAAGCTCTAATTTGGAGATGATCAACAAGCTCTAATTTGGAGATGATCAACAAGCTCTAATTTGGAGATGATCAACAAGCTCTAATTTGGAGATGATCAACAAGCTCTAATTTGGAGATGATCAACAAGCTCTAATTTGGAGATGATCAACAAGCTCTAATTTGGAGATGATCAACAAGCTCTAATTTGGAGATGATCAACAAGCTCTAATTTGGAGATGATCAACAAGCTCTAATTTGGAGATGATCAACAAGCTCTAATTTGGAGATGATCAACAAGCTCTAATTTGGAGATGATCAACAAGCTCTAATTTGGAGATGATCAACAAGCTCTAATTTGGAGATGATCAACAAGCTCTAATTTGGAGATGATCAACAAGCTCTAATTTGGAGATGATCAACAAGCTCTAATTTGGAGATGATCAACAAGCTCTAATTTGGAGATGATCAACAAGCTCTAATTTGGAGATGATCAACAAGCTCTAATTTGGAGATGATCAACAAGCTCTAATTTGGAGATGATCAACAAGCTCTAATTTGGAGATGATCAACAAGCTCTAATTTGGAGATGATCAACAAGCTCTAATTTGGAGATGATCAACAAGCTCTAATTTGGAGATGATCAACAAGCTCTAATTTGGAGATGATCAACAAGCTCTAATTTGGAGATGATCAACAAGCTCTAATTTGGAGATGATCAACAAGCTCTAATTTGGAGATGATCAACAAGCTCTAATTTGGAGATGATCAACAAGCTCTAATTTGGAGATGATCAACAAGCTCTAATTTGGAGATGATCAACAAGCTCTAATTTGGAGATGATCAACAAGCTCTAATTTGGAGATGATCAACAAGCTCTAATTTGGAGATGATCAACAAGCTCTAATTTGGAGATGATCAACAAGCTCTAATTTGGAGATGATCAACAAGCTCTAATTTGGAGATGATCAACAAGCTCTAATTTGGAGATGATCAACAAGCTCTAATTTGGAGATGATCAACAAGCTCTAATTTGGAGATGATCAACAAGCTCTAATTTGGAGATGATCAACAAGCTCTAATTTGGAGATGATCAACAAGCTCTAATTTGGAGATGATCAACAAGTTCTAATTTGGAGATGATCAACACGTTCTAATTTGGAGATGATCAACAAGCTCTAATTTGGAGATGATCAACACGTTCTAATTTGGAGATGATCAACAAGCTCTAATTTGGAGATGATCAACACGTTCTAATTTGGAGATGATCAACACGTTCTAATTTGGAGATGATCAACAAGCTCTAATTTGGAGATGATCAACACGTTCTAATTTGGAGATGATCAACAAGCTCTAATTTGGAGATGATCAACACGTTCTAATTTGGAGATGATCAACACGTTCTAATTTGGAGATGATCAACAAGTTCTAATTTGGAGATGATCAACAAGCTCTAATTTGGAGATGATCAACAAGTTCTAATTTGGAGATGATCAACAAGCTCTAATTTGGAGATGATCAACACGTTCTAATTTGGAGATGATCAACAAGTTCTAATTTGGAGATGATCAACACGTTCTAATTTGGAGATGATCAACAAGCTCTAATTTGGAGATGATCAACAAGTTCTAATTTGGAGATGATCAACAAGTTCTAATTTGGAGATGATCAACAAGCTCTAATTTGGAGATGATCAACAAGTTCTAATTTGGAGATGATCAACAAGTTCTAATTTGGAGATGATCAACAAGCTCTAATTTGGAGATGATCAACAAGTTCTAATTTGGAGATGATCAACAAGTTCTAATTTGGAGATGATCAACAAGCTCTAATTTGGAGATGATCAACAAGTTCTAATTTGGAGATGATCAACAAGTTCTAATTTGGAGATGATCAACAAGCTCTAATTTGGAGATGATCAACAAGTTCTAATTTGGAGATGATCAACAAGTTCTAATTTGGAGATGATCAACAAGCTCTAATTTGGAGATGATCAACAAGTTCTAATTTGGAGATGATCAACAAGTTCTAATTTGGAGATGATCAACAAGCTCTAATTTGGAGATGATCAACAAGTTCTAATTTGGAGATGATCAACAAGTTCTAATTTGGAGATGATCAACAAGCTCTAATTTGGAGATGATCAACAAGTTCTAATTTGGAGATGATCAACAAGTTCTAATTTGGAGATGATCAACAAGCTCTAATTTGGAGATGATCAACAAGTTCTAATTTGGAGATGATCAACAAGTTCTAATTTGGAGATGATCAACAAGCTCTAATTTGGAGATGATCAACAAGTTCTAATTTGGAGATGATCAACAAGTTCTAATTTGGAGATGATCAACAAGCTCTAATTTGGAGATGATCAACACGTTCTAATTTGGAGATGATCAACAAGCTCTAATTTGGAGATGATCAACACGTTCTAATTTGGAGATGATCAACAAGTTCTAATTTGGAGATGATCAACACGTTCTAACTTGGAGATGATCAACACGTTCTAATTTGGAGATGATCAACAAGCTCTAATTTGGAGATGATCAACACGTTCTAATTTGGAGATGATCAACAAGTTCTAATTTGGAGATGATCAACACGTTCTAATTTGGAGATGATCAACAAGCTCTAATTTGGAGATGATCAACACGTTCTAATTTGGAGATGATCAACAAGCTCTAATTTGCAGGTGATGAACAAGATTACATTGTAGATTGTTTGTTAGTTAGAGTATCACCATTTTGTCGGATCCAGTTTGCAATGAGTTTTTTTCCATTTGGTTTTTGCAGCAAACATTTAGGGGTTATCTCGTAGTCGGTGTGTTTCTTAAAAGCAATGAATTCGTTGACATAACTACGAGCATGAATAATAGATTTATCCTCTGTAAAGTCATATTTTATCTGGTATCACAGGTTCTGGGAAGATTTTTGAAAGAAATGGGTCAAAATTCTTAAATATGGCAACTGGACTTGAGTCTGTGTACGGATAGCTTAATGGTATGCATATGTGGAGACCTATCGGTGTTATATAACAATGCATGAGAGTGTGACCATGATAAGGTAACCGTGACAAGTTAACCATGATACACGGATGGCAGAAGGAGACATAGCCAGTCCACTCTATGCCTACGAGGATATTTGATACGACACACAGCTCTCATGAGATATATGGCTGATTCCAGACGCTGTGTGGGCGGTCTCCTGTAAAGAGAGTTAAGGGGACTGACCCACCTCCTTGTTTTCTTAATTTCTCTTATCTACCGTGTTAGTATATAGCGGAAAACTTCGTCTGTGCTGATGTAACAGCTAGACAATCAGTTGTCTTTGTCTTCACAGCTTTTTAAAATTAATTTATTTTGTGCCAAAATACATCAAATGGCCTAATACTATCACTGACAAGGATCTACTAGAAAGGACTTACCAGGTGCCCATTGATGAAGACACCATAAAGAGAAGATGGAGATGGATAGAGCATACTCTCCGAAAACCCCCCGATAGCATCACCAGACAGTCTCTAACATGGAATCCACAGGGAAAAACAAAGAGAGGAATGCCAAAGAATACATGGAGACGCGAGCTATAGGCAGACACACAAAATATGGGATACACCTGACAGCAACTGGAAAGGAAAGCACAGGACCGTGATGAGTGGAAAATTCTTGTGGACGGCCTATGCCCCAGACGGGGTTAAAAAAGCATAAGAAAAGAAGAAATATGGAGAGAACAAATATCTAAAGAGGTTTTAACATAGTTGTTATTTGGCTGGTTATTAGAGTTTTTAATAATGATTATTCTGTAGGTTTAGCTGTAGTCGGTGCCCTGCGCTGTTATTTCATTTTTAAAAGTAAATTTTAATGTGAGATTAGCCGTGAACGTAGAAGTAAATAAATGCAAGTTTGCAGGTCCCAACCATTTCAAATTTTTTGTGCAATTTTTAAACGAAAGCTTTAAAAAGATATCATTGGGCCTATTTAATTTTATGCATTAATTATTTTGGCTTTCAGAAATTTGAAGTATCTATACTATAAAATGTGAAACATCTGTACAATAAAATGTGAAACATATGTACTATAAAATTATAAGAGAAAATAGATGTTCCTTAAAACGTATATCAATCTGCAAGAATGGCAGTAGCAATTCAAAAGCTACGAACATTTCCTTTCAAGACCTATTTTTAAAATCATACAGAGAGCACAGGGAAAATTAGTTTTACATTTTTAAAGTGTTAGACAGAAAACAAAATACAAAAAAAAAGAAGCATTACCTGAAATAATTTCTTAAAGTTGTGGAGACTAAGCGAACCAAACCTTAAAACTCACCTTGAGGTGAGAGTTGATCTTCAACGGGTCCCGGTCTGTGACATTAGGGCCCCCGTTCACATCTTCGTTTGTCTGGACGGCTTCGCTGCTTACTTCAAGCCTGACGTTAGTAGAACTCATCATTAGGTCTCCTTAGTTTAGTTATCGCGTGCTTATCAATAATGCTAATACAATATTCAGTTGCTTACTAAACCGGGCTTTACTTTATATCATGAAAGATATGAAGCAAACGAAATAAAGTTAAGACGTCATATCCACTGTTCATTTCAAATTTTACTTGAGTTGTGGCTCAATAAGAAGAAAATAAAGGAACATTAAAATTGTAACAGGTTTGGCTGTAAGAATGGGTGAGATCTACTGAAACCTTATTCAGAAAAATAGCTTAAATATCAAGAAAAGAAAACGAACACAGTTTATTACAGTTCCACTCTGGTCCACATGGTCAAATGAAATCTCTTCTAAATTGTAAAGAAATCTTCGTTACCAAAAAAACGGTCTCAGCGTAGGTATCGGTATGGCCATGGATACAGGGCGCACAGTCTGGTCTGATAAGGCGAGTGTCACACAACAGAAAAGGGCGCTCGTTCCTTGTAGTATTGCGGTGATAATAAGGATATTACATTACACGGCTGTCTCAATGTTCATTGTTTTACTCGGGGCGGGAATGTCCTTGTGTGTGGACGCGACACAGTCCTTCGACCGGCTGTGGCAAGCTGGTGTGTGGACACACAACAATCCTTCGACCAGCTGTGGCAAGCTGGTGTGTGGACATGCAACAATCCTTCGACCAGCTGTGGCAATTTGGTGTGTGGACACGACACAATCCTTCGACCAGCTGTGGCAATTTGGTGTGTGGACACGACACAATCCTTCGAACAGCTGTGGCAATTTGGTGTGTGGACACGACACAATCCTTCAACCAGCTGTGGCAATTTGGTGTGTGGACACGACACAATCCTTCAACCAGCTGTGTCAATTTGGTGTGTGGACACGACACAATCCTTCAACCAGCTGTGGCAATTTGGTGTGTGGACACGACACAATCCTTCGACCAGCTGTGGCAATTTGGTGTGTGGACACGACACAATCCTTCGACCAGCTGTGGCAATTTGGTGTGTGGACACGACACAATCCTTCGACCAGTTGTGGCAATTTTTGACATTTTTGCCCCGAATGGGATCGAGGAAAATTTTTCTGAAAAATTATAATCAAGTGTTAATTTAAAATACAAAAAATTATTATTGAGACCTTTCAAAACGGTGAAAATCTTGATTACGACTCTAGATTCCTGTTTAGCTTCATGAATAGCTCCATTTCTAGATTCATGTCTAGATTCATGTCTAGATTCTGTCTAAGTTCCCGTCTTTAGACACTGGTTACACTGTCGAAAATATTAAGACCAATTATTAATTAAATGAAACGAAATGTGTCTAATGTGCTTAGGGTCTTTCACTTCCCGGGGGTTTGCTTATCCCAGGACACGGAAATAGAGTTTTCTTCATCCCGGGATTTCCCGTCCGGAATAAAATTACTGTAATAAAAAATATGATTTAAACTGAATTAAACTATGATTTCGTTGCATTTTATAGTTGTTTATTTGTTACAGTCTAATCATGAATAAAAACAACGCTAATGTTAGTTGAGTCAAATTTAATCTCAGACCGTCGCTGATAAACTCTAATGTAACCGTTGACAATCTATATTTGAGTCTATTTTAATTACAGATCATCTCGAATTGAATGTACAGTAATCACAGACCATCCCGCTATAAGCCAAACATAATAACAGACAGTCACTTTTTGAAGTGTTATGTAATCAAATTCGGTTTATATTTAAATCAGAGACCATTTATATTTAAATCTGATGTAACCGTTGAACATCTTTATGTAATTCTATTTAATTACAGACAATCTCGAATTGAATGTATATTAATCCCTCTCTAAGTCAAATGCAATAACAGATCGTCTCTTTTTAAGTGTAATGTAGACAAAGTCGGTCTAAATGTTTGATACAGTTTAAGAGAATGTCAGACAGTGTGTGACAATATGAGAGAGTGTCTGAGAGGTTCATAAACTACGAGACAATTACAGACAGTTATTAATGTATTTTTTATGTGCACACACACACACACACACTGTAAATACTTAAAGTAGTTATTGGTTTAAATTTCCATACCTGGTAAATACTCATAGTATGTATTAGTTTCATCCACCCAGGTAAATACTCAGAGGAGTTATTAGTTTAATACCTCCCACCCGGTAAACACTCATAGCGCTAGTCAGTTTACTTCCCCAATTAAAAAAAAATAATTTTTTTGCTATGTCCCTACAGGTCCTTTAGCTTCAGGATCTGACTTCTTCACTGAGCCCTACTAGTCCGGTGCACCAAGTAGAGGACAGAACCTTTGCAACGGGCAAACTGAACCAATTGGTCTAGATTCAATTCCTTACTTTAAAAAAATTTCAGAAATTGGTAATTTAAACAAAAAAATGTGTTGTTAATTTTCTTTATATTTTTTCCGGGTGTGTTTTTTTTCGTGGGTGTTCTGAAATGAGTAAATGTATATTTTAGAATTTGTTGTTTTTTTTTGTTGTTTTTTTGTTTTTTGCTCGTTTTTGTGATTGATTTTTTTTAACCTCCCCCTCCCCCACACACACACACACTTTTCCACATACTCGTAAGTACAAGAAGCTTTTAGCCCCTTCTCCATAAAAACACCAAACTAGTGTGCAAAATCATACAATTGTGAGCAAATGTTTACACCATCAATTTTTTGTGTGCAAAATTTTACAGCCCTAAAACATACACACGCACGGAAATTACATAAATGAACTTAAGTGCAAACACTTTTATTTAAATAAATGAAGGAACTATAATCAAATAATTATAGTCATAAATTTCAATGTCACAATAGTTCAATCAAAGCTTTAGCTTTTCTATTATTTATCCCGTCGTTTGGTCCAAGCAACTAAATTCCAACACACCCACCACCAATGGCCGCTATTCCTTTGATTGGCTCATTTCTGGAGGTACTCTGTCTTTCAACGATTTCCATCTTTTATGCACATCTTTGAGGTTGAACGGATGTCCATCATTCTGATACGGTTTAATCCACATAAGCATGTCTAGATATAACTCTTTCAGCCTATTTCTAGATTTTATTTTTATATTATTTATTAAGCCGAACCCTCGTTCAAAATCCGCACTTGATGCAAGAAATGTAGCACAAATATCCAACAGAATTACAATGTTGCCGAATCGCTCCTCATTTATTACAAATCGAACCCTCTCGTTGAAAGTCTGCATCAACCCACATTTTATTTTTCTGTTCTTCTGCAAGCACACATCTTGAGTTACGATACTGATCCTTAACTTTCGTCAGAGTGTCATCATGGTTTTGCAGGGATGCTGCATATCTAGAAACAAGTGCTGCAAGTTCTCCTATAGGCCAAATTAAAAATCTGAAGTGTCGATTAACTAACGCTGATATCGCAAAGATTCACCATTGCATCAACTCACTTTCAGGGGAAATGAGAGTCCAGGTGCAAACATAAACATTAAACGAATTTTAGTATAGAACTCATTTTTATATCCTCATCATTTGCAAGCAATTCAGCAACCTCTTCGGACCAGTACACAGTTTGACCAAGGCACTGGGCACGGAGCTTAGCGATCCTTCCTTGTACAAACTGGTATGCCGAGATGGTCGTAACATTTTTGTCTTTGTAGCAGCTTGCATAATTCAGCAAGTTCACAAACAACTTGATCAAAGACAATCAGTGCAGTTTGAAACTGCGGATCCCTTAGTTTCTTCAAACAGTAGATATGAACTGGATCATTTCACAGGCCCACCTGCTCTTCACAGTATTCAGTCAGCAATTTTATGTTTCTCAGCAATGCTCTTAAAGCTAAGTGCCGCGAAAGCCATCTGATTTCAATCAATGGTCTAAAGCATCGGTTCTCAACCTGTGGGTCGCGACCCCCCCCCCCCGCGAGACCCTTTCCTGAGGGTCGCCTAAGACCAATTTTTTGTTTCTCAGCCATGCCCTTAAAGCTAAGTGCCGCGAAAGCCATCTGATTTCAATCAATGGTCTAAAGCATCGGTTCTCAACCGGTGGGTCGCGACCCCCCCCCCCCCGCGAGACCCTTTCCTGAGGGTCGCCTAAGACCATCTGAAAACACATACTCTTACAGCTATGAAGTAGCAACGAAAATAATTGTGTGGCTGGGGGGTTGCCACGACACGAGAAACTGTATTAAAGGGTCGCGGCACTTGGAAGGTTGAGAACCACTGGTCTAAAGGCTACGGAATCACACTTCAACACCTTAGCTAGTTCGGTAAACCAGGCTTTCCATACTGTCGACCTACTGAGCAATGTGTTATTATGTTTGTTAAATTGTATGTACAGCGTACCCCTAGGCTGGGGTACCTCGCTATATAAAACTACGTATAATAATAATAAATAAAAATACACTGTCCTGAGGAATGTTTTAATGTCTTCCATTAAACTTATATGTTTGCACGCATCATTAATGACTAAATCTTCACGATGAGCAACGCAATATTGCTCCAGTAGATGTGGAATACGTCAGTGAAGAATTGCTGCAACTCCATTGCTCTTACCTAGCATAACCGATGCACCATCAGAGGTGAACATAACCATTTTCTGCATATCCAATGAATTCTCTTGATAAAACTCAGTTATTGCTGATTCCACAGATTTTCTGTCACATTCTGACAGAGACAAAATTCCAACAAACTGTCTTGTAAACATTACCGGGATGGCCGAAACTTTGCGTATAAGATCAACAGTTTTATCAGTGATATATCAATGCTCTAATGTGTGGAACTTTTCATTGCAAATTTCGCCAATTATAACATCTTTCACTACAGAATCAATAAAATCAACAAACTCAAAAGCGTAATTCTTTCTGCGCCAGGTATCAGGGACTGGGGGCATACTAAGCCATATGATTGTGTAGGTATTGAGCCGCATTCATAGATATGTTCATGTTAATAGCCAAGAGGACGTTATCAATCAAAATTTTAACCTGCGGTCTTCTTTAGCACTTTTACGTTGTGCTGCTTCTTTTCTCATGCCTCGATCAGCGACACTTTATGTAAGCATTTGCAGTACACCTCCTGGCTGTATAGAACCAAGTCTCTATACGCAGCAACTGTGTTTATTTTTTGCTTGATATGTCGTTTAAGATAATCCAGCTTCCAAGCCTCCCTTCTTTTCCCTGTGGTGAAATCTCCACCTGTATTAGCTTTGATGCACATTTCACAGACAACATCATCTTCATTTTCACGATATTTACAAATATCCCCCAGCTTGACAGTCCGCTCTGTCGACGAATCTGGTAGTGCTGCATGCAAAAATTCATTGAGCCATTCCGTTTTAAAATTTGATCTACACTTTTCTTAGGAAGCTGACAGTTCGCTTAACTGACGTTTAGATGTAAAGGTTTGACATTTTTAAAAATAATTAGCTACAACATTTATAATAAACTAGATATTTACGATTTATTTACTTTATACACATTCACTGCGCAGTATGCACCACGAAATTTACATGAATGGCGGGTGGTGGCTCAGAACGAGGCTAGCTTGATCCAGTATGTATCGCCATGTATGTAAATCAAAAGTTCTACGTAAAAAGTAGAAGACAAAAATATAGATCTGTATCAAATTAAGAACAGGGATGCACGTGTAATAAAACCTGTATTATTCCGACTTCAGAGTGCAGCGTATTTGTTTAAATTTTTTTTTTTTTATAAAATTTGCTGCGCGGATACTCAAAACTGCTGCGCGTCGTCTGTGAGATAGCTATGCGGCCGCGCAGCTTATAGGGAACATTGGTACTGAGCACTATTGATGCGATATCTAGCTTGTTCATTGATGAACAGAAATGGCAAAATTATGATGATAATTCCTGCACAGCATTGCGAGACATTTTTACAGCATTGTAGATGTAAATATGCTATTTTTGGACTGTCAGTTGGAGCTGCAATTATTCACTGCCTTTGTGGAGAAATAAGATAAGACAGATAGAAATAGGACAAGCGAGTCGTCTCTGCCAAAAGTACGGATAACTCGGATGACAAGCGGAAAGTACGGACGCAAAAATTAGTACGAACAAGGGGGTCGAAAATACAAACTGTCCGTACTAAATACGGACGTATGGTAACCCTATATTAGGTGACCCAAATTTAAGGGTCTTTCGACCCCCCCCACCCCCCCCCCGAAAGATTTCACAGCCCACAGTTTGAGAACCACTGATCTAAATACTTGATTTCAAACCGTTTGATTGTGAAAAAAAAAATTAAATAAAAAAATTATTAAAAAATTGACATTTTTCTGTTTTTTTTTATTAATGGTAAATACATTTTCTACAACTATGATCGTTTCTTTGATTTAAAGCTTCAGTTACAGATTATGTTTCATTTATCCTTTCAGTAGTTACATTATTCTTTTAGATCAGGGGTCACCAAACTACGGCCCGATGGCCGCATCCGTGTAATTAATCTATGTATTTTGTAAAATTGTGCTTTGGTTGACTTTTTGTATCAATAAATTAAATTATGTTTCCTATCAAAGGTTAAACTTCGAAAATATTGAGTTTTATTTTCTATGCACCGCTAACTGTATGCATGAACAATTTGATAGAATCGAGCTTAATTTCTTTAAAATGTACAGGTTGTCAAAAACGTACTTTTGACTGCATTCCCATTTAATTTTGTTACAAGCCTAAAATTCTAAAATGCCATAAATTTCACGATTCTGTTCTGATGAGACCAAGCACTACTCAATGGAATAGACCAAGTACCACTCAATAGAACAGTCCAATTACTACTCAGTGCAATAGTTAAAGGTCATTTGCGCTCTTTTAGAAAACTAAATTGAAGCAAAATAAAATAATAATAAGCATAATTTGTTATAATGGTATGTGAAGCCAACATTATGTCCCGATATGACGCTGTAGACATATGTTTCAGAAAAGTGAACTGAACAACGTGGATTAGCTGTTACTTTATTTTGTATGAAGACACTTGCATACACTGAAGGAAATAAATGAAATATGATGTGACAGCCTATGACCCCACCCTATGTGACAGCCTACCCAACACTATGTGACAACCTACCCAACTTTATGCGTACAACCTACCCAACTTTATGAGTACAACCTACCCAACACTATGTGACAACCTACCCAACACTATGTGACAACCTACCCAACACTATGTGACAACCTACCCAACGTTATTTATTTATTTATTTATTTAGGCATTTTTATATAGCGCTTATCATAAAGCTCTAAGCGCCTTACAATTATTAAAACATGTAAACTAAGTAAATACTTTATCCGTCCGATTTTAGATTATGCATCTTCAGTCTGGGACCCATTTACCCAGAAGAGCATTGACAGGTTGGAGGCGGTCCAGCGACGAGCAGCACGCTTTGTCCTAAACCGCTACAGGAATACCTCTAGTGTTGGCAGCATGCTAGAAACACTAGGCTGGTCACCATTGGAGAAACGACGACGACAATCCAGGCTCTCCATGATGTACAAGATAAATAATGGGCTGGTCCACTGTTCCAGTATTAAACAGAAACTCGTACCTCTCCCCCATAGACAGCGACGAGGCCATGACAGGCAATTCAGGCTCATACCAGCAAGAAGCCAGTATAGGAGCTGCTCATTCCTGCCCAAGACAATCAGGGACTGGAACAATCTTTCAAAAGGAACGGTTGAGGCGACAACACTAGACACATTTGTGTCTATTGCCTCAAGCCTTCAAACCCCCAGTGCATGATTCCCTCACAAAGTGGCACTGGAAATCTGTGAAATTTCCTCATCAACACCAGGAACAGAAACATTGCAAATCCCATCTACATGCATAGGAGCCAAAATGATCAATAAATTGATCGTGGGCCCTTAAGATATAGAAGAAGAAGAAGAAGAAATACAAATGAGACACTAGGATAGTAACTACTATACTATAGAAACAATGAAAATGGCTATAAAACGAGGACACTTTGACACTTCAGGATCAACCCGAAACAGAAAATGAGGCAGGACAAGGAGGGTGCATCACAGGTCATAGGCGGACCTAAACAGATGAGTTTTAAGGGACTTTTTGAAAATGGACGAGGTTTCACTATACTACGTATATGGAAGGGAGCTGGAGTACAACCTACCCAACACCATGTGACAGCCTACCCAACACTATGTGACAGCCTTCCCAACACTATGATAAAGCCAACACTATGTGACACCTATATATATACCAACACTATTTGACAACCCACCCTATGTTTGGGCTGGATGTCAATTGCCATACGCTGGAAACCTTTCAGAAAAGTCTATCTCTCAAAATTGGTATCCATGAGTTCCAACCTTTTAGCATCCCGCGGTTACGTTGAAGAAGACGGGCTATTCTGTGTCACAAATAAAATACACTACAAAATAGCGATAGTTGATGAGAAAAAAATAAAAGAAAAAAAAATGCTATAATATATAATACAAATAAATAAGCAATTTAAACTTCATTAATTCATGATTTGAAAAAAAAAAAAAAAAATTAAAACAAGACAGAAACATTAAATTTTCAACAAGGCTTTTAAAAAGTTACGTTGAAGAAGACGGGATATTCTGTGTCAAAAATAAAATACACTACAAAATAGCGAAAGTTGATGAAAAAAAAATAAAAGAAAAAAAAATGCTATAATATATAATACAAATAAATAAGCAATTTAAACTTCATTAATTCATGATTTGAAAAAAAAAAAAAAAATTAAGACAAGACAGAAACATGAAATGTTCGACAAGGCTTTTAAAACATTAACGCTTCGATATTTGGTTCGATAGAAATAGTTCTTCTTTTTCTATATTTCGAGGGCCCACGATCAAATGTATTGATCGTTTTGGCTCCTATGTTTCAGATGGGCTCGCGATGTAACTGTGCACGGTTTTGAAAGGGATACTACTTCACTGGTTGCAAGGGCTACTCAGCAATGGTATTATGAACTGGGGGTTGGAAGACAGGAGGCAACAGACGCAAATGTGCTAAGCGTTGTCGCCTCAACTGTTCCCTTTGAAAGCTTCTCCAGTCCCTGATTGTCTTTGACAGGAATGAGAAGTTCCCTAAACTGTGTTCTTGCTGGTATGAGCCGGAATTGCAATGTGATGGCCTCGTCGCTTGTTGATTACGCTTTTAGTGTACGACTGTAATTAAATTATTTGACCCCAGGGCCTACGGCCAAAGGGATATTTCTTTAATAAAAAAAAATATATATAGAGAGAGAAAAATTGTTACAGACTGAATCTAATCTTGCCATGTTATCTCAAATGGCAGCAGATATCAGATAACTCCATTAAATAAGACCGAAGTCTTTAAACAAAAATATTTACCGTTACGATTTTTAAGTAAATTTGTCTCAATGAAAGTGGACATGACACACACACACATAACTATAACGTTAATTAAACTCGGTGCCATAATGCCTGAATAGGACTTTACATTTCAAAGATTAGTTCCGACTTGAAGAAGCAAGTGCCAATTACACATATTTACCACATTAGCCATTGTTTCTATCTCATTCTGATTCTTTCAGCTTATTCAACAGCCCATTAAATTAAAAACATTGCAGAACTATAAATTTTTTTCCAGCGGTCTAGCTCAATCTATTGCACGCGAGTATAATATCGCCCAACTAGGGTTAGTGCGCTCCGGGGTGGGCCAAGATTTTTGCCCCAGAAAACTCTGCGATTGGCTGAAAATATCGTCCCTAAAACTCTATGTATAGAAGAAACAAAAATGCCAGACTGGGTGGACCACCCAACCAAAACCCTTTCTAACCCAGTGAAATAAGCTGAATTTCTTAAGTATAAAGGCGAGGGGGTGGGGGTAAATCATTACAGCATCAAACTGAAGTTGTTAACGGATACGGAAGTTAATGTTTTGTAAATTGCTTTTCAACAAAATGGCGACTCTCTGTGTTTACAAATGATGAAACGTGGCTGTAACAAAACATGTAATGAGACGCTAAAATTTTTCGCTTCTTTAGTCACGGGTATACTTCGTAAAAACATGACGCTTTTATGAATTTAATGAAACTTAGTAGTTAATAATCACTGTTCTTTCAGAATAAATTTAATATGCAGGTATGCTTGTTAAGTTTGTTTTTAACTAGTACTTTTACTTTACTTTAAGTTACTTATACTTAGTACAGACTAGTGGGTGAACAGTTAAGTACGTAGTATGTAGTAGTTAGTAGTAGTATTGCTACTTAGCACAGTCATTCATTGTGACTTAGTTATTGTTAGTTTAGTGGGCCTTCTAGTAGAGTTACACTGATTAACTAACTCAGTTAGACTTAAAACTAGTATAGGTGGTTAAGTTGTGAAAAGTTTAAGACTTTTTCTTAAGACTCATTTTACATTTATGTCAAGAACTGTGGGAAGTGAAGTAATAAAAATTTGTGTCTTTTTTTGAAAGAGCTATAAAAAGTTTTTAAAAATATATTATTTTTCATTTCTAGGTTTCAATGATAATCACTTTAATCAGTGCAGATCACTTAATTGTGAAAAGGCTAGTTGTCATTCATTGCTAATTGTAAATGAAAATGTCATTAAAATGTGTCCAGTCTAATTCTAATTCATTCATTTTTATTAGTCACTCACTAGTAATTAGTCATTACATTTTCAATACTGATTGATGATTGATAACACTCACAGTTACAGAAGTTAGAAGACTAATGATGATAGTGGACTAACTAATAATTATTCCAGAATAAAACAATGAGTCTTTGAATGAGTAAAAAGGCTAATTTATGAAGGCCTATTATCATATTTTTATTATTAGCCTATAATAATGGCCTATAAGTAATATTAAAATTAACTTTCATGTGAAGTTAACTCTGGACAGCCTTGGTCAAGACCATAGGCAAAGGGGCCATCATGTGTCGGGGGTGGTGATGGCTTTCCCTTGAATTTTTTAATGATTTGTGACATTGACAAATTTTTATTTTAGTGGAGTGGGGGGGTGTAAAGAAATTGCCCAACAATGCATGGACAAGCCATTATTTTATAATTGAAGTAACTGGGTGGGGCGAGTTGAGCCCTATGCCTATGCATTGATTATTATGAATAATTGGTATTTGAGAGGGCTAAATTTATTATTGTGATAGTGATAATAAGCAATAGCAACACTTCTTGTTTACTCCCATATGCATACAAGATACAAAACCTGTTGTCATTAGATTTCAACTTAATTAATATAGAAAAATGTCTAATAGTTAAAAATACCGGTAGCCATTACTGTGGTGGGCAGTTTTGAAAAAAACAGACTCACCTGAGACTGTGCAAAAGCCATTTCAGTTTGTCAGTGGGTTATCCAGTACATTTGAGAGGTGCGATAAAGTGCAATGATCAATTTTGCACTCTGCCCTATTGTCTTATGTTTTGTTAATCAGACATAAATAAGGTCCTTTTTGCATGCAAGATTAAAATTCATGTATTAGTGAATTATTTTCAAGTGAATAAGTCATATTTATTTGTCAATAATATATTTTTACCAAAATATCATTGAGTTAGGCAGGACTATTCACCTCTGCACTTTTCAGACTAACAAACAGTTATGCATGATCCCATCTCACTGCATAAAAATACAAATCACATTTTTATTTATTTGAAACTAAATGCATGACTTAACAATTATTAAAGTAGTTATTTTAAATTTATTATGTGATAATAAAACAGTAAAAAATGAAAGTAACAAAATTGGGTCACCAAATGAGGCGTGCAGTTCATAGTAAGAAAAATTATGTAACCATTGCGCACTATCCTTTCACTTTTTGCCATATGCAACACAGGCCTTTTAAATTATTTGTTAAGAGACTGTGGTAAGGGAAATGTTTTCCGACTGCGATTCCATTTCTGAGGGCTAAATTTTTTATGAGCATGTCTCATGTTCATATGCTGAGCTCTTCCTGTTTCTACAAGTGGGAGGTATTTTGTATTCAACAATAAATGCTTATGTTCCCATCCTATTATTTACTATGATATTCTATAAAAGTTGAAGAGATATTTCATTTGTGATTTGAATTTGTTTAAGATTGGCTTATTTATTTTTGCAATCTATCCACAGTAAATAAAAATGGATGACATGGCACTACAAGGTTTAGCTTCTTTGGCCATGGCCCCTGATGCTGAATCTCAAAATAGAGTAGGCCTAAATGTTGTTAAAATAAAAGGATATCATTAAAAAATGTCATGAGGCTAACAATTAAGTATTTTCAGGGATTTGATTTAACCTGGTTACATTACTGTGAGTGTTTTACACAGCACTAAATATCTTAAAATCCAATAGGCTTCTTTGTAAATCAATATTTAGCAACTTGCCCAATTATTAAATAAAGTGAAATTATACATCATGTGGTTAGCATTGTTTCTGAAATAAAAGTTTTCATAAAGATTTTCTTTTTTTAATTCACAGGCTGTACATTTTGTGGAGCAGCTGAAACAGTCTGAAGATGGTTGGAAGATTTGTGCCCATGGATTTACTAGTGGAAACTATCACCAGTTCGTATTCATCTGTTTCAAAGTTATTAGAAATTAGCAACATACATGTTTTAAACGTGCTCTTTAATTAAATTGAATTTTGGATTTTTGATTGCCACTTTTCATGATCATTAAATGAAAAGTGTGAGGAACAGTTCAGTTATGATATAAATGTTTATACATTTTCAAAATTCCATTTAAAGTTTAATTTACTTAAACTAATATGTTTATTGTCTAACTCCTACAAATCTCTATGTAATTCAAAAGTCCAATTTGAATCTCATTATATAAAGCTTGTTCATTATTATTCATAAATGTATATACTTATACCAGTATTATGTGTATAATTGTTTGTTTGTTTTTTTTTGTTTTTTTTTAAATTTCCTTTAGGAATGACCATGTTAAATTCTTTTGTCTACAAGTTTGTGAGCACTATGCGAAACAAAGGTACCTGTAATTAAAGTTAATTTCTACAACTGATTTTAGATAATTATTTTATTTTAATTTTAAAATTAACAGATATATTACTTATAAAATTAAATTATAATCAGATTATCTTAAAACTTTTAAAAAAAAATATAATAATTTAAAAAAAAAAAAAGATAATCTGATTAATTTTTTTTTTTTTTTCATGTTGAAGTGAATATTTAAATAAAATGATAACTCACAACAATGTGAAACTTTCACACAAGAATTTTAAGTTCTTTATTTCCTTACAGATATCAGCATGCAATGCCAGAAAATGTCACAGCCATGAAAGCTTTTCTCCTGTCTTGTCTAGAGTTGGAGGTCAGTATTTACTGGATTGTGAAAGAATTTTTTTTATTAAAGCTTTGAAACAAATTGTGAAATATATAATGTCTCATACTTACTCTTAACAACTATTTGAGGCTTAACGCAGAGACACATAAACATTTGAGCATGTAAGAAGTTCATATATTTGCTAGATTTTGACTGGGAGTTTGTTATTAGACTTATATAAGATATTAAAGTTTAAACCTGGTCATTTATTTCCACAGTCAAATGTTGCGACCCAGAGCAAACCTTTTATTAGAAATAAACTGGCACAGTTGATTTCTCTAGTGTTTGTCCATGACTTCCAGCAGAGGTGGCCAATGTTTTTTGCAGACATCATGTCAACCCTGAGTCGTGGGCCCTGGGCTGTGGATATGTATTTAAGAATCCTAATGGCTATTGATGCAGAGGTCGTTGACAGAGACATAGCCCATACAGCTGAGGTAAAACAAGAGGCAGTTTTGAACAGTTAATTTTAAAAATAAATAATCTGTAAATAAGAAAGTAGTCAGTAGAGCCAAGATGACATTTTAACCGACCAAAACAAAACTGTTTAGTAGTTCGAATAAATATTGTGTTGTTAGCAAAATCTCAATTAAAAAAAGATCATTGGATTTGTTGTAAAAATTTCAGATTTTGTTTTGTTGAGAAGTAAAACCTAAACTCAGCCTAAAATAACTTTTTAATTCTTATTTACAGCCTACCTTAGCTTTGTTTACTTTATTTTTTGTCTGCTAGGAAGCACAGAGAAACAGCCTCATAAAAGATGCCATGAGAGAAAGATGTGTTAACGATCTTGCAGATTCTTGGTATCAAATTATGGTAAGGTCTTCTACACCACTTGTCTGTTTTCAAATATTTGGCTATACACCTATAATTAATGTGCTAAAAATCAGTTGCAAAAAAAAATAAAAAATTGAGCTTGTCGAATTTAGACATTACTGCTTTGCCTCATTATAATAAAAGACAAGATATCTATTGTATCTATTATAATTATATATTATGTGAATGGCACAAGATTTGTAAAAACCATTCTATTCATCATATATAATAAGTCTCTAGGTTTGTACTTATGGCTGTAATACTGTGTTCAATAGGCTCGAAAAATAAAATGCAAAGAAGTTAGGAATAATTAAGATTCTTATAAAGTGTGTAACCTGAATGCATGTATTGTCCAGTAAAATTTGTAGATGGGAAGTTCACGCATTGCTGCTGCAATTGTTGGACCATTTATTTCTAGTTTCTCAATAATGTTATCACCAGACTACCTATGAGATGACACAGTCAGATTTGGTATCAATGTGCTTGGAAACTGTTGGACATTATGTCTCCTGGATGGACATTGGCTTCTTTGCCAATGACAGGATGGTGTCTCTTCTCCTGAGGTTTTTAATGAATGAAAGCCTGAGGGAGTTTTCTTGTGATTGCATTCATGACATCATTAGTAAAGGCATGGAACCGGTGGCGAAGACATCCCTCATTGAGTCTTTCATGACAGTTCTAGATTCAGCTGGTATCTTTAAAAGCGAGGTAATGATTTAACTATTTTTACAATTTTAAGGTCCTATGCAATCAAGCGTGGTATTATTTTATCATTGTAAGGTATTATTTATTTTAATTACAATTTTTAGTTTATAGTTTCATTTCTTAAATCCTGAATTTTTGTTATGCCTGGGGACTGTTACTAGAAGTAAGCTGCTATACTCGGCTTAGTATTAAATGGCATCTTATGTATCATCTTTTGATGAGAAAGCATGCGCTTAAACATGTAAATGCTCATTTAGTTATTAGAAAAGTGTTATTTAAATCTATAAATGTACAATTTAAAAGGATATCCTCCATAGGGTGAAGACAGTGAGTTTTTGTGCAAGTTGTCAAAGCTTATAAATGGCATAGGACTTGGGCTCATCTCTAGCTGGCAGAAGTAAGTGCTTGAGTGTTTTACTCACTTTTTTTTTCAAAGTTATATAATTGAGCTTTATGGCATAATGAATGAAAATCAGTTCAATGTTTAAATAAATGGGAAGATAAAATTTCATTTATTTGGATAATTATTTTTTAAAATTTTAAAGCCTATTGCTTTTATAGAAATCTTACAGTTAAACCCATTTAAATGCTGCTTTTTTAAAATAGTGTGCTTTATGCCATAAAATTCTTTTCCAAATCACTTAACATATACAACACACTTTTTCTTGAAAAATGTTTTTAAAAAAAACATCTAAGCTATATTGATCAAAAACATTTTTAGGTTGTCCAAAAATGGTGTCTGTAAAAACTCAGAAACAACTCTCAGAGCCCTAGAGGCCAAAGTGGCTTACATGCTAAGATTCCTGGGAGATGATGATGATGATGTCTCCAGTGCTGTCATTGAGTTTGCCACAGAATACATTGCTATGATGAAGACTTTGCCTTCTATGAGTGTGGTCCAGAAAGGACATATAGAGGTAAACTACTGCTGTAACTCTTACACATACATTTTTGTTTAATTCATTAGGTTGACTGGGCATGGGTGATCTGAATGCATTTCTTTGTGTGGGGCTTGGGTCAATGAAAAATTATTCATTAATAGTTAAAAAACAGTAAAACCCCACTAAAGTAAGTCACGATGCAGTCACATGTTTTATGTTGTATATCTGGAGCAGGGGGGGTGGGTGTCCTATAGTGTGAGAAATATATGAATCAATTCTATGCATATGTCATTTGTATTAAAAATAAAAACTTGGAAGGAAAAAAAACCCAATAACATTTAAGATGAAGAAAAGATATATCCAACATGGACTTAGTAGTATTTCAAGGGGAAGTATGGCTAATGACATGATCAATGTTTGGTTCCATATTTGACTCTGTTAGCCAGGCTGGCTAGATTAAGGACCGCTGCATGTCTGAAATGGCCCGTGTATGTCTGACATGGCCCGTGTGCCATGAGCACCCATGATCTAGAGCAGTGGTTCTCAACCTGTGGGTCGCGACCCTCTTTTGGTGTCGAACGACCCTTTCACAGGGGTCGCCTAAGACCATCGGAAAAGACATACTCTACAATTATGAAGAAGCAACGAAAATAATTTTGTGGTTGGGGGTCGCCACAACATGAGGAACTGTATGAAAGAATCACGGCATTAGGAAGGTTGAGAACCACTGATCTAGAGCATGCTACTACATGTTGTTTAAGAAGGAAAAACTGGTTTATTGTGTTTTATGGACTATAGCGCTAATATGTATTTTTATTTATTTCTTGCAGGGTCTTCTCTTCACCATCATTAAAAAACTCAAATATGATGAGTCATATCAGTTTGAAAAAGAGGTAAATACATTATTATCCATGTCCTATTTAAAAAAAAAAAAAAAAATTAATATCAGGGGGAAATAGTTATTCGGATCATTATTATTCTGTGACTTAACCAAATATTTTCATCAAACTTTAACAGAATGACAAACATATACACACTATCCTATCTAAGAACTAGTTTTGTTAGCATTAATTGAATTTTAAAAATACTTATTTTAATTTTTTCCCTAAATTTTACTAAATCCAGGGAGAAGAAGAAGCAGAATTTCAAGAATACAGGAAACAAGTTCGGGTCATATTTAACAACATTGCAAGCCTGGTATGATTAAATAACTGTTAAATTTTAAAACTAAATGATTAATGGTCAATTAAAATGATCACCGAGCTTTGGCATTTTGATCTCAGCTTGATACCAGTAGGAAAAGGTTATTCTGAGCCAGGGTATTTTAAAATTCTGTAAATTAGCTGGTTCTTGTGTTAAGTATTTAATTAGTTCCATTTGTGGTTTTTATATGTTGTTTGATTCATCCATCCCTGTGATGCTACAGCTAGCAAGTGCTTTTGGCTTGCCTCCTCATTCCCTTCCATTCACACCAAGTAGATGCTTTCCTTTTTCATGCTTGGATTTCCAGCTGCTGTGGGTCTTTTCCACATTATCTAATCTATCCATCTAAACCTAAATCTGCTTGAGCTGCTCCCACTGGGGTTATTTTTGTGTACCCTTTATACTCCTCTCATCATTTGGCATTCTTTCTACGTGCTCAGCCCAGCTGCTATTTTATTTCTGCTATTAGCGTGGGATCCTGTTATAGTCCATACAATACAAATTTGTTTAATATTATAATAATACATACTGAGGATAGATAGAAACTTTTCAAATAGTATTTGACATTACTGCATTTCAGGATACACAGATGATACTATTGCGTATTCACGAGCTTGTGTCTCAAACATTACCACGCTGGGAATCCTTAGATTTCAGAGATGTAGAAATAGCTATAACTCTTTTGTACAGCCTTGGAGAAGCCATCCCTGTAAGTTGCGTGTCATTAATTTTTTTTAGGGCATTGAGTTATGGAGGGAGTCTTAAACGGACAGAAAGTGTTTGACATTACATGGGATTCAACTTCTGTATGCCAGACCTGCTGTAGTCTTTAGACCATTTGGAATATAGGCTAATCAATAGTTTTTTTGTTTTGTTTCTGAACTTCCTTTCAGATTCCTATTTATTATCAAAACTCCATATTCTATCACAATTTGGTAGGGTATTGCTGTGTTCCTGCTTTTTGAAAATTTAGTTTTCTTTGTTAAAAATAAAAGTTATATTGATTAGGAAAATGTGTTGAAACTTAAAACTATTTTAACATATGAAGAGTTGATTTTCAAAACACGGTATCCGCCATTTTGAAAAAAAAATGAGATAACCGTGCATTCTTGTAGAGCAAACCAGGTTGCCTTAGGGCATGTTAAAGTTTATTCACAAAACACATTTTATTCCTATATTATTCTATGTCTAAAAATGATTTTATTTTCTAAACGCGGTGTGTATTGTTTTTCTTTATTATCAAAATGATGTATATATTACGGACCAATCCGTGTGATTGGCAAGCTACTTCTTTGGCATTCTGCGCATGCGCACTAAACGTCGCGAAGTGAAAGAACAAAAAACATGGTGGATTACGACGGCCTGGATGAAAGAGTTGTTTGTACTATAAAATCTCAAAAAAGAAAGAAAAAAGCTAAACACAAGAAAAAGACAAATCATATCGTCATTTAATCGGACGAAAGATGCCCTCCATTACGTGTAATCACGATAAAGGTTTCTGCAAGGTGAGTTACCTGTAACTTTTTATCAAGCATCAGTTTCTCAATGGCTAATTCTACTAAAAACTAAAATGGGAGTATTATAAATTTATGTGTATACCACAACAATAACATGCTTTTTACATTTTAGTACCTATTCTACAGATACTAATGTGTGAGTGTAATTTTTAAAAATGGTATCACTTTAGTTGGGGTCAAAATTAAAAAGCCAATAAATGCATTTAACTTTTTAAAAAATATTCTAATTCAATCGTTCATCATTTTTTTAAACATGATTGAACATTCATAATAATAATAAAAAAAAAAAATATTGAATTTTTCAGGCAAGAGAAATAACACATGAAAACATAAAGACATGTCATGCAGAACAGTATTTCTTATGCTGTGAAGGAGAAAAAATACAAGTTGCCAGGCTTCATTTTGTTCTGTATTATGTAAGTATATTTTTAGTGTAACCACGTATTGTATGGTAAATACTTGAAAAAAGGCTGTTGGAGCATAATAAATTCTAAGATAATTATTTGAATTTCTCTAACATTAAAATTTTTTTTTTGATGAGGAGAAAGCCTTCATTGATGGGTATTATATTATATTTATACATAAAGTTATTGCTTCTGAAACTGTACCATACACTTTCAATGTATTCTATAATGTATTGTTATATTATTAAATAACCACTAAAGTTCATTTTACATTATTATGGGTCATGGTTACTGGACATCAGAAGTGTGTAGAAAATGAAAATAAAAAGTTGCTTTACAGAGTTAGTTGTGTTATGTATTACACATTCATTCTTTCACATGCAGAGCCAGCCATTACAGAAGAAAGGGTGCTTAAGGACAGAAATAGTTGCCTCTAATTTGAATGTAAATGAGAAGCATCAACTTTTCCTGGAACAAAACCAAACTGCCATTGAAGATGCTGCACACTCTGAATCAGACACTTCATAATTTTATATTTGTTGTTCTTCTAAATGTAAATAAAGTGATTTGTGACTTGAACATGATCTTGTTTACTTTTGTTTAGAATTCAGATTTATAAAAACAAATCATGCAAACTTATTGCACTCTAAACATTACACTAATACAGGGGACTTCCCAGCATTTATAATACTGTTCTGTTAAAATATATCCATAAGGAACATTAATCATACACAATTATATATGAATATTATACAATTTAATTTAATTTTGGTATGTAAGTGGTTTGTAATTTATAAACAAACTGAAATATTTGGTACTGGGAATGTTATCCTTTCAAAATGGATATACAGCATTTTGTCGCTCAGTAAAAGTTGGATACAAAGCATTTTGCAACAAAATAAGAAATTAAACCAAGTAAAAAATACCAACATTTTAATGAACCTACAATTCAATTTTCATCATAATCTAACTTATATTTTGAATATATACCTAAATTAACAATTACTTTTCCGAAAATTTGAGCCATCGTTGTTTAGCAAAAAAAGTTGAATATCTCAAAACCCAAAAAATGCAGAAATAGCATTTTGAAAATCAACTCTTCATATTCACTTTAATGACTTGTCTCTTTGTGGAGGCATAATAATGTAATTTCTTCAATCCAGCACCTTGTTATTAGCTCCATGCCTTGTCTTAATAATGGTTTCCTTTTTAAAAGTAAAACACATAAATTATTTTTTAGACATGGCAAATATTTTTTTTTTTGTGTGGTTTATTTACAGGCATCTCATGGCCAGCACTTTAGTGGTAACCCAGAAAAGGCATCTGCCCTTCAAGACATGATGAGAACAGTAGGTTTTTGTGCTTAACATTATGATGATAATTGATAGCTATATAATTTTATTATATATTTAATTAAGTCCCTTGTTTATAGACGCCCAAATTTTTGTATTAAATATTAATATGTTTCATATCTTCATTCAGCTCATCACTAGTCAAGTGAGCAGACAAGGTCATTTTGCTGTACTTCTCCAGTTCTTTGAAACAGTTGTGCGCTATGATCGATTTTTTGTCTGTGAACCTCAGCATATTCCAGAAGTTTTGGTAGAGTTATTTGCCATGTCATGGAAATGAAATGTTTTAGAATTTCAACTAAATCTTAAATATCTTTTTTTTTTATTTGGTTACTCTGATATAACAATTAAAATCAGTCAAATGTTATTCCGTGTTGCCAAGAGAGCTTGAGCAAGTTAGTCATTCTTGCTTCCTGATATACTATTCCTTATTCTAATCAAATTGTCATTAGATGAGTCATAAAGATAAACAAGTTTTTAGTGTATATTAAAAATGTTTATTAGTAAGTTGTTATAGATTTATGAGAAGCTTGATATTTCACAAATAATTTAACTTAAATTTTTTAAAATACTTCTCACTGTCCCATTCCATGTTATCTTCTCACAATAAAAGTGAAAAATTCAATATTTTTAGATGGCATTTCTAGATGAAAGGGGATTACGGAATAGTTCCCCTAAAGTCAGGAGTCGAGTGGCATATCTCTTCTTAAGATTTGTGAAAAGCACCAAGTAAGACTAAAACATAGGTTATTTGATTAAAGAAAATTAAAATAAACTTTCATTGAAGTTGCCATAACTCTTACAAAATACACTAAATTAAGTAATTAACCCTACAGGACACTTTTTAATTCTGGATTTTTATGTTAGACTAAGTCCTTTGGCAAACTGCAGCTTAAAATATGGTAAACTCTCATAAAAAATATTTCATATCCAGCTGGATGACACAAGCTTCACCTATAATATGTGACCTATTGAAGTTTCAAAATAAATCAGTAATTTGTACAAGTGCTTGTCTTTTTTTAAAAACATATTCAGTTTTGTGTCTGCTATTGAATATTTTGTCAGGTAGAGCTAGTCCCCAGGTTAAGTGCTACTAATATTTCTTGTGTCTCCCCTAACTATAGTCTCTCCTGCCCCAGGACCCACATGACCCCTTACCTTGAAGATGTCCTGAAGCAGATGCAGGATCTACTCACTGTGAACAGCCCTGACAATGGTCTCAGCCATTCACTCTCAGACAGTGATCAGCTTTTCATCTATGAGACTGCCAGCACTCTTGTAGTTTCCAGTTCTGTTGAGCCAGAAGTAAGCTATTATTAGAGCACATAATAATGTCTTGTGAATCATTAAAACTTACATTTTGACTCAAAATTTAAAAGTATATAATAGTGGCTGATTTTCTTTGTGTTTCTTAATTCATTGAAAATATCTCATTGTTACTTTTGTTTTAACTTGAAAAATAATTAGAAAGATTTTGGAAAATTGCACCTTTTTATATTCATATCACTGCAAAACATATTTTTAAAAATATATACATTTTTAAATTTCTCAGTTATAGTTAATAAGTTTCATAATTTTATCCATGATTCCTCCTTAGAAAAAACAAGTACTGATGAAGCAGCTGTTGATGCCAATTGCCACCAAGTTCAATGTGATGCTGACAAAGCTGACAGAGGAACAAGATGAGAAAAGGCAACAGGCTTACGCTGACTGCATTCACAATGCCATTGCTCTGGCAAGGTAAAGAAGTGCTTTTCTTCACACACGTCTTGGGCATTTAAAAAAATATATTCATAAGTTGAGTTAAATTTCTTTTTGAAATACATTTTTTGGTTATATGTCAGGCTATTTTGTTTTATTGAGTTACACTAAATAATAACAAGGTTTTTATATGACTTTTAGTTTTGTATCTGTGGCTTCTCTCATGTGCGATGCTCATAATTTTCCATTCAGCTATTCATGGCCTGAAGGGGAATAGTTTAAAAAAGTTTATTTATCTTTTATCCACCTTTCTCATTAAAAAGTTAAAAATTGGAGGTATTCATCTTAAAGAGGCAATGTTTGATTTCTGATTAGAAGATGGTTTTTACTCTTATTTATTTCAGCCGAGCCAGTAAAGGATTCTCTGGCCAACAAACTATGAAACAGTGCGGTTGTGTGTCTGCGTTCACTGAGCTTCTATCCATTTTCCTTGCTGCTTTAGAAGTGACTAATCAGAGGGCTTCCCTTCAGCAAGGTGTCAGGCAATATCTACATAGAATGGTATGATCAATTTTTGCAAAAAAATTTTTACCTAAAACATAACATTGACAATCATAATGTTGTATGTGTGCATGAATGTGAAGATATGCCATAAAATATTTGCTACTATGACAAAGAGCTTAAATCCAAGAACATTTAAATCGTTAATTATATGATCAATTTTGTGTGTCTTAGAATTGTTTACAGGCAATTTTACTGAAATGTACTTTTGGATTTTTCAAAATGATGGACTTGCTCAAATTCATTTTGTGAATTTTCCTTTATTATAACAAAGAAAAAGTTACATTTAACCCTTTCATTACCCCTTGTTTTAAGCAACCATGTTTGCTGACTCAACAATTAAATAACTGAAAGATAAAACTTCCGGTATTATTTCATTCTCTATCTGATTCGCTTATTAACTTCTCTACATATTAACGAATAAAGAAATATAGAGCATTGAAATATGAAGTGGATATGACATCCTTGGTATTTTAGAAAAGTTCTTTGCATCTTTGTTGTGACGTCCTCGGTAATTGAAAGTGGGTGATCGTATCGTGACGTTGACGTCATCGGTAACGAAAAGGTTTTAAAAAGTCGGTGTACCATATAGATATTTCTTAAATGACTATTTTTAAAATCCAGGTTGTGTGCTTAGAGGAAGAAATTATGCCATTCCTTCCCGAGGCCATGGAGCGGTTGTTAAAGCAACCAGATGCCAGGGAACTCTATGACTTTTTACCCCTCGTCAACCAGATTATTATGAAATTTAAGGTCAGTCATTGACAAAAGTTTTTATTATGATAAATTTAGTAAATCAAGATGTTCTTCTAAGGGAGAGTTTTTAGCTATACTTATACCTCTATTTTGTTCCTATAAGCTGTTTTATGGAATGCACTGAAATATTCTATGTCATTATGTATTTATACATCTTTTAATAATTTATGTTTGATTGGCTTATACTTGATAAAGAAATGTTAAGTTTTTCTGCTTTTATTTAATGAACATATTAAGACAAGAATACACCAAAAACGTAACTTTGTTAAAGCCTCTGTATAATACATAGCCGTATAATTTTCTGTTAAGTTAAAGTAACACCACTGTCATATTTTAGCTAACCCTGTTTGAAGTTTTTCCCAATATTATTCTTTAATGACAGGCAAACATCTCTCCATTCCTTACACAAGTTTTCATGCCTCTTGTCATGACCATATACCAAGTTCTGAGCGCCCCCTCAGACCACAATGACCATTGCTCTGCCGAGGAGAAGAAACTTTTACAGAGGGGCTATTTCTTGTTTCTGTCCACTATTGTATGCAACTGTTTGGATGTCCTTAAAGCTCAAAGTGAGGAAATAGTGTAGTGGTTATTTTTTTCTTAATGTTTTAAGTACTGAAGTAAGATGTAATATATGTATCTAGTTAAGTGGGAAATCATTCCCGGTGTTTTGCAAACAGCAAAACCAAAAAGGAAAAAAATGTTTAACCTGAAGTGTCCCCAGAACATTGTTTTGTATGTCTATGGTTCAATGGAGAGTCATTAGTGCCAAATTTAAAGGCCAGTTTTTAAAAGAGCCATCTTTCTTAAATGCATATCTAATGAAATATAATATACCGGGACTATTAAATTGAACACTAACGGACAAGCATCAGTTTTCTTGATTGGAATGTAAATTAATATTGATAAGGTTGTACCTTAAAATATTTATCAAAAGAATAAAAAATTTTAAGCACTAACGAAAAGATTACATCTAATAAATAGTGTAAATATAAACTTTAATAGAACTATATTATTCTGGTCTTAAATCTGCAGGCATGGAGAACTTGAACCAAGTTCTAATGTCTCTTATTCAGGGTGCTGTGGAGCTGCCAGATCCACAGGTATGGCAGGGCTATTGATGTTTTTAAAAATAATATTTCATTAAACTCTAAAACCATTCATTTAGATAATTTTTTACTGCATAACATACATTATTACCTTGCAAAATTTGGCCAGTTTCTCTAACCTTTTATTATAATCAATATACATCTGTTATTTCTTACACCTTTAAGTTAAAGAAAATGTTTGAAGTATATTGTTATTATTAAGAAGTAGAGAGAATTAACACAGATTTTAATTGTTTTCTTCTTGTATATGGCAGAGTCAAAAGTGTTGCTTCTCCACTTTAAAGAAGCTGATAGAGGTTTGGGGTAAGTCCATTTTTAGTATATTTCACCTCTAGGCTAACAACTAAACAATTACTCACCTAATATAAGATAACAGAAGCACATAAAATGAAGTTTGTTGACATCTTCACATTTTAATGTTTCATGTGCTGCAAAAAGATTGAATGAAGAAATCCTTAATTATGAAAAAGCAATAAGTAATAGACTGGTATAATACTAGTTAGGGTTTGTATATTTGAAAGGGTCTTAGTTATTCCAACACAGTGTACTGCATAGTGCAAAAAAGGTTTAAATTAGTATGGCACTTCCTTATTCCTCATGCTTTTCTGGCACCTGATCTGCGGATTATAAATAGGAGACATGGAAAATCTTTGGGGGTTTTTTTTCATCCAAAACTTAAAGTTATGAACCATGAAAACAATGACGACCACATTCTGTATTCACGTTTTTAATGTGAGTTGTTACATTTTTAAAATAAAATGCAGGTTGCAAAGAAGGATTGCCTGGGTTTCCAGCATTCATTTACAAAGAGATTGTACCTGCCTGTTTTATGGCACCTATGAAGCAAACATTTGACTTAGCAGATGGACAGACAACCCTGGTATGTGAAAAAGCTCAAATAACTGAGGCCATGTTAATAATTAATAACTCCATTTAACATTAGGGGATCAGACTTAATATTTATAATGTTAATTTTCAAGATGATTATAATTTATACAGACTAGTAACCATAGTAAATATTTCAGACTCCTTATAAGGGGATTAACAATCTATGTTGTTCTTGACCAGGTGCTTGGAGAGTGTGCTGCTTGTATGCAGGAGGTGCTCCAACAGCGGGTAATTAGAGTTTTAAATGTTAAAAAGTTTAAATGCTAATTTGTTTTATTTATCTTATGATGGTTGTTTTTTTTTTAAGTTACACAAACATGTTGTTTTTAAAATAACTATATTAATCATTTATTGATTTTAATTATATTTTAATGGTGATTATATTTGATTGTCTTTAAGTAATGTTTTTCACCTTTACTTTTATAATAGTGATCAACATGACCATAATTTTAAGAGGCAGTTAAAAATGAAGAGAATAAATTTTAAGTTTTTTTATTATTATATGATTTTTACAAAATTATGAAACAGATCTATTCAAAAAAAAGTAATAAAAATTTTTTTGTATTCCACAGGGACAAGAATTTTTAGATTTCTTAAAAGGTGACTTCTTCCCATCAAGGGGAATTAACCAAGAAAGTGGCCAGGTAGGAAAGTTTCTTCATCTTATGTTTATCTAATCAATGCAAAAGAATAAATTCAATAGCAGTTTTTTACAAATTTAGCAGTATTTCTATTGAATTTAAGCAATATTAAAATTTAAAAATTGTATTAAATCAAAAGTATCTGTATAAAAGAGACTACTTGAGGTTTATCAAGTACCTGTTAGTTAAGAAGTGTGGACGGCAGTTCTTTGCTTGGGGAAGGATTTTGTTTTAATGTTGTGGTTTAAAATATTTTTTTTTTACCTTTCTAGTGTTACATCACAAACTTACAGACAGATTTGAAGTCTTTCAGATCTTGGTTGAAGGTAACAAAACACATTTTTAATCTACATGATTTTAAACTTTATTTTTGACATGCTTATAGTCAAATGTTATTAAATCTTAAGTTACATTATTTTTAAATTAGAAACATCCAGTTCTGAAAAATATATCCATGAATCAATTTTAAGTGAATCATCGTTTTCAATGATTTAAATAATGTTTATTAAGCTTTATTTTGCATTAAAGGTGTTGACAATAATTTTTATTATAAAAAGTATGTTTCTCAACATTTATAATAATATATGATCACAACTGAAACTTGATAACAAATATTTGTCATCAGATTTATTCAATGACGGGGGCTTTAAAAATAATTATTCCGTGTCCTCAGTGTGGTTATTTGATAGTTAGAGAGAATTGTCAAAGTAATTTTTGTAAATATATAATTTCCATTAAATGTGTTAGTCTTATCCTAGGTATTGTGACAACATGAACTTATTATTTTATTGGTAAAATTTAACACATTTCAATGTGTTTTTCTTTTCTCAGAAATTCTTTTTACAGGCCAAGTCATGACCCAGGGCAGCCTTAGACACTAAAGCATTTTAATATTCAACCTTTGGCATTGTTTTTGTCAAGATGTAAATAAGCATTAATTAAATTAATTTTGTTCTCATTTAAAAACCATCATCTCATCCCTGGACATATTACCATCATCACACAAATTGATTCATATCCATCTTTGTCCGTAGTGACTTATTCACAGTATCATTTAAGCTTCATTTCTCGTGAGATTCCTCATTCACCAGTGAATATATTTCTGAAACATAAATAACATAATCAAACATTTGTTTATAGGGCCACATAATATGGCTCTAGAGCTGAATTATTCTTAGCATAGATATAGATGTAAATGATAAGTATAAGCTTTTTTTCACTTGTCCTTGTTCAATTTTATAATGTGTTTCAGTTTTAAAATTGTAGCTATTAAAACACTTATAAGTCATTATGTTTAATAATAAAAAAATATCACAACTGTTAACACTAAATTGGCAACTTAGGGGTTGACAGCAGTACAGCTAAACAAAATCAAAGATGAAAAGATACAAAGTATTAAAAGGATTTGCTCTCCCTTTAAAACTTAAATCCCACTTTTGTGAAATCTTCTAATATTTTGCACAGTAATCCATGTTAGTTTAATCTTTATAGATGGCATGAATGGTTTCATCTGATGTATCTATTAATTGGGGTTGAAGATGACATAGCATCACACAAGAGCTTGAAGAATGCATCACATTTTATCTCACAATATGTAATATAATTACGTAATTGTCTTAATGATATTTGTCTTGTGCACAACTCTAACCACAAATGAAGGTTAGACATTTTTTTGAAGAAGTTAATACATTTTTTTTTTAAAGCCGTTTTTTTTTACCTAATGTTAAAACATTAGAGAAAATGTCACAAAAATGAACTTTAGATATGAATGTTTGCTTTTTTGTCATGGGCTGTAGCAACTCAAGTTAAGAAAATGATTGCTTTGTTTGAAAGAATTTTTGAAGGTTTTACACAAATATATGGTACTTTACTTATATTTTGTATGAAATGATTGTTAGATACATAATTTCTCAAAGAAGGGTCTTTATAAATAAAAAGATCTGACACCTTAATCGTAAACGATTGTGAGACTGGCATTTTTCCATTTGGTTTGTTGGTTTCACTAAAAGACTTATTTCAATAATCTTTTCCTATTTCTATCTTACCAACCCTCCTGTCATTTCATTTATTGGATCTGGTATTAAACATTATGCGCTGCTCAATACCCACTAGTCATTTAAATATAGAAACATTCATAGGATTTTGTTCATTGTTTACATCTTTCTTTCTTCAAAGCAATGCCAAAGGGTAATTATAGTAGTGCTTTTTTTGTTCACACATTTCATGAAATGTAACAAAGCTACTCAGAATATAATTATTATTTCTTTTAAAATTAATTGCTTTGAATGGCAATTATAATGCGTTTTGGTCTATGATTTATTTAAATCCTGTGCATTGCTTTAACTTTCAATATAAAGCCATAATACAGAAGCACAAGACCTCAGAAGATTTGAGCGTCTTAGGCTTTGTGACTGTGATCAAAGGTTGGTTGTAGAAGTGATCTTCATGGACCTGATCCGGTTATTAATTAAAAAAATTATAATTAACTATCCGTTATCTGTTGTTCCGATGTCTTAATTACAGTGACGAGATGGTACATTGAGTTAAAAGGGGTTTCTTTGAGTCAATGAAATAATTATTTAATATCCCAGTGAACAGTATGTTTGAAGTAATGGAGCGAGTTATTTTCTTACATAAAATTATAGCAAATGGCATTAGTGTGTATGCAATGCACAGATGTTTTGACATTGTGTTGTGATAAATCTGTTGTTTTTTTTCATCTTATTGGTATGTTGAAATAGAACCACAACTTTAGTCGATTTGAGCCTGAACTAGGCAGTTTTGTTTTACTTACAAAAGTTAATATTCATATCTTTACTTTCAAGTCTTCTACACTATTGCCTTATACTAAGCCCATGGTAGGATATTGAAACTCATGGTTTTATTATTTATGTCTGACAAATTACATGAGCGTGTGGCCATCTCTTGCTATTAGGTTATGGAAAATTATTTAATAGTAATAGTTTTGTTAAATGTTTCATTTCAACCTAATCACGTTGCACTTTTTGTTGGTGGTCTGGATTGTGTGTGAAAGTCGGAGAAATTTATGTCAGTGTGAATGAAAGTATGGTTCCAGAATACTTAATATCACAATCAATACAACAACCTCTGCATAATTATGATGAAATGAATTATTTCAAGAGATAATTTCATCATCATAACAGTCTAGCAATTATTCCAATTCATTTTTTTCTTTAAATTTGCAAAGACATGTTTCAGTTGTTTTTCTTTATATCTTTAAAACTTTTGTTATAGTTTTATAACAAGTTCTAAAGGGAAAAAAAAACAACAAAACAATGAAGTGTGAAAATTTTATTATTATTAGTATTTTTTTAATTAAAGTTTTGTTTATAAAGCATCTCAAAATATAAGGATAAGTTGCTTTTAGTTTTGGTTGAATGTCTCTAAAATAAAAATGGATACAGTACTGAAATACAGTATATGAAATAACTATCCACTCATTGGTTGTTAGTATTCTCAGTATGTATGGAAAATTGTTTGATTCCATTAAAAATGTTTTGTTTCTTAAGTTGTAGATAATTTTTCACAGGGAAAGTGATTTGCTGGGCTAATCCCATGTAGAATAATTACAAATGTGTTTGAAAGATTCAGCCATGCATTAAATAAAGAATTGTCACAAATTGTACTGCAGTTTTTGTTATTTATCAGTTTATTTTGAATTTTTTTGTAACAGCATATAATATAAGTCAATGTTTGTACAGTTAAAAAAATACATTCTTAAAATTTAAATGGTGATACAAATAAGAAGAAAATTGTAGTTTAAATCTGCAACATAACTTTATTAAAGTAAACATACAATGACAAAAACTTTATCGGAAACTTTATTAAAATACATATCTAATTTATAGTAGGAGAGATATGGCCTGATTCAAATCCAAATTGTAAAAACTAAGTTGTTTATTTTGTCCCTAAATGGTGGACTTTAATTTGTTTGTAAAGAGTAAGTTACAATATATTTCTCATTACAATTTAGCAGTTTTAATTGGAGTTACCTAGCTATTTCATGCACCAATAGCAAGTGACCTCATCTGGTAGTCATCCCCTACATTTTCACCCCCCCCCCCCAAACTCCTAAAATAGAAAGCTCTGCATTATGCTAAATATTAAAAAAACATTTTTAACACAAGCATACACTTTAAACCCTCCTCCCCTTCCCCCAAACCATTGAGAAAACATAATAATAATGTTCAGATGAACCAATTGTTACCATGAATACATAATTTTTAAACATTATAGAGATACTTATCTACAATATTTTTCTTGTTCTGAAATAGTCCAACACCAGTCATGGATCACACATACTTATGGAATGGAACACACATCCTCATATCTGACAATTCACACCCTAATATAAAAGCACATAACCAAGGGGAACACTTATCACCCGGCCCATACCATTGTCTAAACTACATACATCACCCATACACCTAATCTCAACCCCTCCTCCCCCCCTCCCAACACACACACACACACCAACTTAAATGCCTTAGCTAACCCCTAACATGTCTCTAGCTTCAGTTTCCTCTTCCTGTAAACTCTCTGATGCATATCTCTGTATCAACTCCAGTTTTTTTCTGTGCAATAATGCTTGCTCAATCTGGACAGTGGTAAAAAAAAAATTTACTATATTAAAGGTTTATGTGATTGAAATTCACAATTTCAACTACACATTCTGGGGGGCAAAAACCTCCAATACTATGACCATATCAGTGTTATGGATATGCATCATTTTCTAAAATTTAAGAAATGTTTGCACATGACAATCATGTGCATTAAAATTAAAGTTAAATATATGCCAGGAGAAGACTCATCATTGGCAAATCCAATAGTTAATACTTTGAAATTATATTTTGTTTTCTCTTAGGCAAATCATGTTCTTTTTGCAGGGCTTTTGCATGGAGCCCTGCATTTCTTGCGCCTGCACTGGGCCTTGGGTAATTAAGGAGCCCCAAGTTGTGATGTGGAAAAAAATAAACTATCAACTTTCACTTCAGAGGGGGCACAAAACTGAAAAGTAGCTCCTAAAGTCAAGTGACGGCAATGCTTAGTTGCATAAACCTTTTTAAATTAAAAAGTAAAGAAAAAAAAGGCTTTGACCTCATTATATTTCATTACAAATTTCATTTGATTCAGCAATGTTAAACAAAAAATAAGCTGAAATTTACTTACATCTTTTTGAGATGGGACAGGCACATGTGCAATAAAATGTTGTTTCTCCAATTCATTAATGGTGACATCCATACTCGTCTCATCCTGACTGCCACCCTCATCTGCATCACCATCATCATCAACCTCTGCCAACTTGGAATTGTATAAAAATCATTATGAAAGAATCTCATCAATTTCTCAAATTATTCATTTTTAAAAAATATTTAGGTGATTGATAATATTTACTTAATTTCTTTCTTAAATTATGACTCCGCATTCCCCAATATTGTTTTGAGATTTATCTGAATGCTCTGTTATTTTGAGGATAAGATCAACATGAATGAATCATACATTTTAAATTGCCAATTGAAAGCAACTCTAAAAGGACACATGCTGTAATAAGGATTTTCCTATTTCATGAAGCAATAACTTGTTTAAATACCGGTAATAATTAAGACATTTAAAAATAATTTTCCTTCAATAGTCTTTTTTTTTCTTCAATATGTGGACTGGCTGATAATTCTAAATAATCATTAAGTATTTCTTACAATGCTTATTTTTTTCCGTTCAATTCTTGCAGTTCAGTACAAATCATTACCTCATCTTTAGAAAATAACTCCTCCTCTTTTCCACAAGCCTCTTCCTCAGTCATTTCTCCTGTTTTAACTCGGTTCTGTTTTTCTTTCCACTCTCGAACTTTAGCCTTTATTGCTGCATAGAGTGAAAAAAAAAAGACTTAAACCATGCCCATGATGATGATCACCTAATAAAAACCCTTTAATAAGAATTGCCAGTGTTCATTCACAATACATACCTTGTTTTTCTGCCTCTATCTCCAAAGGTACTATGATGCCATCATCTTCATCTCTGTAACCATAGTAATCAGCATCAATATCTTTCATCAACTCTGCTCTTGTTTTACGAGGTGGGGCAGGTGCTGAAATTTCAACAATAAAAAAAAATATAAAAAAATTGTTGCCCATATTTTACACTCTGGTAAAAAATGCATCAATCAGATTGAATGCCACCCCACTCTCTGATATAAGATTTCTAAAATATTCATAAAGACAACAAAAGGCATACACACATTTACATCAATATTTTAATTGTTTAAAATATTATAAAGTTAAATCACATGTTCAAATGTTTTATTTTACTTACGCTCCTGTTCAAATAATTCTCTGACGCCAGGTAAATCCTTTGCAGCACCAAAGTATCTGAGAGGAGAAGAAAAAAACATCTTTTTACAAAAGAATTTTGAATTGAAAAATATATTTAATCCCACTTATCAAACAAAAAAACAATTTAAAAAGAAGGCAAATTAAAATAATTCATCCCAACTATTTTCAAGAATTGCGGCAAAGCAAAACAAATATTAAAAAAAAAAAAAACAACACAAAAAAACACTTAGAAAGCAAATGAATTTTTTCCCAATGATTTTTTCACCTACTTGTAGCCTTTGTTTCCAGGAACTTCTTTTCCATCACTGTCCAACATTTTTGGTCCAGTTTTCTGATAGTTTGTGACAAACAAAGATGAAAATTTCAGTATTTTGTTAGTGAATGTGCAACTGATGAGGTTTGACTATGTTATGCAAAAACAAAATACTTATATAAGTAATAAAAATAAAATCTCAGACAAAATTATTTGGAAATAACATTTTATGTCACATTTATAATAAACATATACCCAGCATGACTTTGGTAATACAACAACAACTTAATTTAAAAATCAGTTTTATGATAAAGTCATACCCTGTAGTCTGGTCCGCCAAGTTCTTGGATCCTGTCCTCCCAATGTCCCTTTTCTCTCAACAGTTTGTTAATCTCATCATTCAAATCCCGTAACTTGAATTCTCCCAAACCAGCTAAAGATATGGAAATTCAAAAAAGAAACCACAGTTTAGTAATTTATTAATTTTACACTTTGAAGGATATCATTTTATCTAGATCTAAATTTAAAAGAAAAAAAAAAAAAAATTAAACATGGTTTCTGTTGTGAAATGGTAAAGATTTTGTTAAAACTTTGGATTACTAAAATTATAATGAAATCTTGGTTATTTATATAGTTTATACATATTAACTGAATGATGGTATGATCCTGATATAGAAAAACATAAAACATATTTATTAATTCAAAAAAAAAAAAGCTAACAGACCATTTTGAATTTGTGCAACTTTTCGAGATATCTCTCCTATGATTTGCCTTCGCCATTTCTCAGCTTCTTGAAGGTTATCACAATCTGATGCAAGGTATGGGCGTCTATCCTGATAAGGTATGAGAGAATAAACTAGGTGTTAAAAAATTGAAGGCCTTGACTTATTGATGTTACAAAGTGACATAACGTCGTTTTGTCATGTTATAAAAAAAATAATAAAAACCAATGCAATTCTAATATTCAGTTTTTTTTTTCTAGATTATTATTTTAAATTGCTGTAATTTTTGTCAAAATTTCTTCTAGATTTCCTTATGTGTACTTAAAAAATACACGTTTTAGATTTCTAAAGTGTAAAATACTAACCTTCTCCTTTATTCCCCCAACCTGAGAAGCTCTCCACCTGGCCAGAGTTGTCCTGACGTAAGAAAAATTTTAAATAATCAATTAAAACATGATTCTCATTGTATGCAATTTGTAATATTACCATTCTATTAGTAGCTAGCACTTAATTAACAAATGTTCAAGTCACAACCATATTAGTTTTAACAAGCATATCTTTTTACCAACTGTTCACTAAAAAAGAAGAAAAATACAAATGTGTCAATACTTGAAACTTACATGGCTTTTTCACTGTTACGAGCCTGTGATAAAGACAAATTTACTTATTAGTTTATTTATATAGGGATCTAAAAGTTTATGGAAATGTTAAAGTTCTATAGATTTCTATACCTTAAATGAGAATTTTCTTAGCATCTGTGAAACAACTTTCATAAGTTTCTTGAAGTTTCTATATTAATCTACATGATTCTATTTTTCTATAACCACTTTAAGATTATATAGCTATTATGTTTCTTATTTTTTCAATTGGTTTCTTAGAATGTTATGAAATAAGATTTAAAGATATTTTTGAAAGTCTCTGTGTATAATTTATAGACTTTGCTCCACTTCTTATCCCTATTTATTTTGGCTTGGACTTAGTGGGGATAAAACTTAATTTCCATTTAGGCCTAAACAATATGAATTTTAAGACAATCAATCACTCTCTGATTTACATATTACACTCAATGGTAAATTTGAGTAATAGGGTACACTTGGTAAGCATTTAATTCCAGCCATTCTATTTATCACATTTCCACTTACTACACTCTCAATTATGCTTAATCCAAAAAAAAAAATAATATAAATATTGATCTGATAGTAGGCTTAATATTGATAAGCAATGGCATAGCTAGGGTTAGTGTCAACAAGGGCAGGCCAAATTTTAGCAATCACCCTTCCACAAAAAATAACTCTGCATGTGGCAGAAATACTGCCCAAAGCCAATAATATTGGCGAAATAAGAAAAAAAGTGGCGCCCTACTAATAATAACCAAATAACATGGATGAATATTATAATACATTCTTTTTCATGCCAAAGTTATTTTAAGTTATTTCATAAATTATGTGTGTGTTGTCACTGCTGTGTTAAAATTTAATGATAAGTGCCTAGGGCAATCCTCCGAAGTCCGGTCCCAAATTATTTTGTACGAACAAAATTGCAATGCACAGTGTCTATTGTAAGAAAACAGCAGAAATGTCAGTCATAGCATTTGCAAATAACTGTCACTTTACAAACCAGTCAGTAAATACTAAATTTTGTCATTGGCGCATAGCATTTGCAAATAGCAGCCGAAAACGTTCTGTTTGTGACTGTTGCGCCACTGAAGGCGCCGAGAAGCTGGCAAACAGACAGCAACTAGTACCACCCTGATAGCGGAGTTTACGTTTCGCTTGCATCCAAAGTCCTTCAATAGTTTATGTGTGAATGTCCTGGTCTACTGGATCAACAAATTCACGCGCCTGCACAATGACAGCGTGAGCATAAATCCTGTTGTTGAGCTGACCGACATTTTGATATCTTCGCCAAGCGTCCGTGACGATAGTTGTCCCTGGTAACACATGATTAGTAGTGATAATGCGCTCGAGTGTTTGTGCATCTCGGCGGCCGACAGCCTCCATCCAACATTGTCCACTAACGCAAACATGAATTTCAAAACAGAATGATGCTCAAGACTTATACTTATAAGTAAGGAGTAATCACTGAAAATAATTTGGGACCGGACTTCGGAGGATTGCCAGTGCCTAGATTATAATTTATTCCCTTGATTTTTTAAACTTTTCTTAATCTTTTTTCCAATTAAGATCAGATAATGGACTAGCAGTTTAAATTAAACTGACACTGACAAGAACAAAATATTTGTGTAATTGACAATTTTCACATAGAAAAATTAATAGTAATAGTCTTAAATTTAAAGAATCTAGGCTAGTCTTGGCTATAAATTATTTTAAAAAATAGATATAAAATAACTAAAACTATGTTTGTTTGCCTTGCATGGTCAATTAACTGTAACTGTATGAACTGTATCTGTATTACGTATTTTATTAATATTATTATATTATTATTAGTACTAAGTTAATGTCTACTGTACTTTAACTTACTAAGTTACTACTAAGTACTAACTTTATAAAAAAAACTTAATACTGACTTAATTAGGCAGACTACTTAAAGACATATTAAGTAGTAAAGTACTTATTATATAATTTATTTCTATTTTGTATTATTATCAATTGTTTTTGTCAAAATTTTTGTTTGTTTTTAAAATTAGGCCTAAATAATTAAACATAATTTTTGTTCATTGGTAGATTACTCTTTGTTGAAATAGTAGACAATTAAGCAGAGGGATTAAATGATTAATGGAAAGTACTTACCATTTTTATTAAATAACCTCTGAAATTGTATTAATTACAAAAAATAAAGCTATCACAGTGATATCAAGTCAAGTCGTTAGTAAAACGAAAGTAAGTCTCCCCAATGCTTCCGTTTTCTTTAAAACTCTTTTCCCGTTTCATTTTTAAAAATAGATTAAAAACTATAATGCCAAAGAAGCGTTAAAATTACAGAGAAAAATTATTATTCGAGCATATGGAGTATAATGTTAAAACAACTTCAGTTTTTTTCTTCTAAATTATTTTTTGTGTGTGTTTTTATATTAAAAATTGTTTTTTGTTTGTTTGAACTTAATGTGAATGTCACTACAAGGAGCATACAAACAGGTTATGATTAAAGAAATATGTAAAAAAAAAACAAAAAAACGATGGTTTAGAAAATGTAAACCTATTAAAATTTCGCATATCCTATACCAGGGGTCGGGAACCTATAGCTCGCGAGCCAGATGTGGCTCTATTGATGGCTGCATCTGGCTCGCAGACAAATGTTCGATTATAAAAAAAAAAGTCGCGTTAATGGTAAGAAATACTCATTATTGATTAGCAACAGCATAACAATGTGATTAAAAAGACTCCAGAGGCATAATTATTGCATTTTTAGTGTTGAAATTACACAAAATGCACACATTTACTTGAATTTTTAGTTTTAAACATAACGTATGGCTCTCACAGAATTACTTTTCAAAATACGTGGTGTCCATGCATGGGCGCCGCAGGGGGGCAAGGGGGGAACTTGCCCCCCCCCCCCGGATTGATTGGATAAAAAAATTTTAGACAAAAATAGACAAAAAATGTATTAAAGTAAAGAGAAAATAAAGAGAAAGTAACTAAGCTGATGTCCTGTTCGTTCGTTCCCCATACAAATACGCTACAGTAAATTGAAACTATATTAAAACATTACTAAAAGTTTTTTGCCCCCCCCCCCTGGAAAGTTAATCGATTTTTTTGCCACCCCTAGAAAGTTTTCTGCGGGCGCCCATGTATATATATATATATATATATATATATATATATATATATATATATATA